CAATGGACCAATATGGGATAAAACGTTTACAACATCTCCATGCTACCGACCTCCATATTCCCTACGAAAAACTGCATTCAAGTAACAAGTGACAGATGTTTTCATCATAAGAATGATAAAGAGGGAATATAGAAGCGAGGGTTACACCCCTACACTGCATGAGTGAAGAAGTAGGAAGACGGTGATGAAAGCTCAGACAGGAGAACCATTTAGCTCTGGGATGACATATGAAAGACCATAATCACGTGAAAGTAGGTTGAAAGGAACCCTTGAACCGGATGAAATTCCAGCCCTCTTTAACCGAAAAAACCCATTTGAAGAGTTACTCGATACAAGAAAATATGTTTGAGGTTTAAGAGGGATAATTGTTGTCTTCGATAAATTGAACCACTGAGTTTGGGCTCTATGTGCAGGTTATGTTATAGTGGTAGGGAAATGCCAGGACTGTCGGGAGCCATATAATTAACTTGAAAGCTTCCACTTAGAAAGTCCTCCCAGGTCCATCTGAATATAGCGACCATAAACTTCTAGGATGGGTCTCTCTCATAAGCATGGATCATTCTAGAAATCTACTAACTTACTATTCCCAATAACCCATCAAACATTGTGACGTAAGAAAGACAAGCCCATTTGAATACCTTTCCTTGCGTAGGAACAAATTTTCTTGTCAACCTCCCAAATAGAAGAATTCCTGAAATACTTGTATTTGAAAAAAACGGGCTTTAAGTGAAGATGGATTAACATTAATTCTCCATGCCAAGTGAAGATGGATTAACATTAATTCTCCATGCCAACTTCATCATGCATGCATTGTTGAACTCTAACTGGTGCTAGGCTTGCGCCGGTTGTGACAGATGAGGGAGAGAAATTCAATCGGCGCTAGGGCTCATCCACTGAATGAAGAGAAGAAAGAGAGAAGATCAACAGGCGCCAAGTCTCACCGACTGCCAGAAGAAGAGAGAGAAAACCAATCGACGCTAAGTCTCGCCGATTGTCAAAAGAAGAGAAAGAAAACAAGTCAGCGCTAAGTCTTACTAACTAACAGAAGAAGAGAGAGAAAACCAGTTGGTGCCCGGTCTCGTCGACTGACAAAAAAAGAGAGAGAAAACCAATGGGCGCTAGGTCTCACCGACTGACAGAAGAAGAGAGAGAAAATAAGTCGGCATTAGGTCACGCCAACTGATAGAAGATGAGAGAGAAAATCAGACGACGCTAAGTCTCGTTGACTGACTGAAGAAGAGAGAGAAAACCAATCAGTACTAGATCTCACCAACTGATAGAATAAGATAGAGAAAATGAGTCAGTGCTAGGTATCACCGAATGATAGGAGAAGAGAGAGAAAACCAGTAGGCATTAGGTCTCGCCGACTGATAGAAGAGGGAAGACCAATTGGCGTTGGGTCTAGGCGGTTGCATTAGAAAAGGGCAAATAGAGATAGAGATAAGAAGAGCAGATCAGAGAGAGAGATAAAGACGACAAAAGAGGAGAGGTAGAGAGAAAAGAAGAGAGAGGAAAGAGGTAAGAAAGAGAGAGATGAAAAGAGAGAGGAGAGAGAAAGGAGGTGAGAAAGAGAGAGCGAGATAAAGATGAGAAAACAGGAGGTAGAGAGAAGAAAAGAGAGAATGAGAGAAAAACAGAGAGAAAGAGAGAGAGAGGAGAGAGAAATGAAGAGTGAAAGAGAGAGGAGAGAGAAAAAGGATGAAAAGAGAGAAAATTACCTTATCCAAGGGTACCGGCTTTTTTCTTCTCTCTCCTCTCTCTCTTCCCAAGACGTACTCATAGGCTCAAGCATGGAATCAAAATTTTATTGAATCTTCAAAGAATGAACCGAAGGCCAAAAGTCTTCTTACAATGAGACAGTGCCTGTTTAAACATGGGTGGATTGATCAAAATTAAACCTAATTTCTGGAAATAAGATATTAAAAGAAATTCTAAAAATGGGTACAAAAGGACTGTTTTACCCCTGCTTAACAATATGTAAAATTTCAGAACAGTCCCTACTATTGTCTGAGAGCTTCCTTGATCTTCTGTGGCTGACCCTGGGTTATTTTGATGTCTGTTTGATTGAAAATTGATTGTCACCTTGTAGGGTTGGACATGACGATCATTTTGTTACCAACTTCGAGCCATGGATCGTGTTTTTAAGCTATGATCACAAGACTTGAAATTTGTTTAAATCTTGGATACTTCGGATCGATAGTGTGCTCGTTCCTTCATGTTTTTCTATGATTTCTTCATCGTAGTGTACTAAGCATGCCGTCACGATTGTGTGGCAACAAACGGGATGTGATTTAGAGCCCAAACGAAGTTTTCGCAACTTTTAAGTTTTGGCCAGAATCTGGAATCCGACGGCCGAAATTTCAGTTACTTCATTAGCTTCGTGCACAAAATTTGATCGTTCATCATGTACGGGATTTGGACCAATGATAGCCTTGAACCTTACGCACAGAATGGAAATGGTTTCGTGTCGATCCGATGCGCGAGTGTCGTAATTTTATCCATCGAGCGAGGTATGTCACTACTGAATATTTTGCAACTTCTTCATGGATCGGTAACTTCTCTCTAGCTTTTCTCCCTGTTCGAATATCATCTCGGGGCATACCACATATCAAATTTTTCGTCTTGATAAGATGAACTCGCTCACCAAATTTGGGAGTGATCCGACTTCGTACGAGTGAGTTATAGGCCCAAAAAGTGACTTTTCGTGACTGTAAAAACAACTACTTTTAATGGTGTTTTGATGGAGTGAAGCCACACAGGAATAGTGTGCAGCCTAGCCTTTTTAGTCTTCTACCCACAACTTTGTCTTAGAATGTCCGATTAAGCTGAAACTTGACCCATAGGGGTTTTCGACCGTGTCGGATCTAATGGTGGTGGTCCCATAGCTGTTTGATGTACCAAAAAAATAGCTCTAGTTATGGGGTCCATTTCGGGGTGCTGGAGACCGATTTTGTTGAAATTGTTTCTTTGTGTTAACTGCCTTAGATATGTCTAATTACGATGAAACTTAGCAGGTAGTCTTTTGAAGTGCTGATGATAGTCCTAACCAATTCTATGGCCATTCTCAAACTGTAGGGAATTTCCACTGTTTTTGTAGACTTTATTGACCTGCTTCCTACCGGGGACCAAGATGATGAAAATCACATTCAAATAGCTTGCTCCACCAAATGTTGTGCTTCAAGAGAAGCGGGAAGGACAATCATTCGGAAAACTACCTTCGGCTTTTACTTTTTTTCTTCTTAGCCACAGGACCACGTGAACGTTGAGGAGATTCACGTAATGGTGTAACTAGGCTGCTCAGACGTAGGGATGTATTGTTCACGTATCCGTCCGTGGAGATTTTAGGGGGAGAAGTGACTTTTTTTTAGGGATCTTATCGAAGTCCTCACCCTCGTACGGACTGTTTGTGATTTTGAATTTGAAGATTTTGTATGGACCTTGTCAGTCAGAATCGGGCAATCTGGCAATTGAGTGCCATGGTGGAGGGAATTATTCCCATTTGGTCTGGGTTCGTTGGTTTGCTTTGGTAGGCGATGTTTGCTGCTACACCAGGTTTGCTTTTGACATTCAGAGTACCACTTTGGGTTTCGTCTACCTGGTCCAGTTGGGGGCAGTGGTAGCCGATCTCAAAGGTCTGGGCTTTTCGGCTAGGCGAGATGAAGTCTCTGACAGGTTTTCCCCTTGCTTTGTCAGTTTCCTGCCTTTGTGATGTTTGTTTGATAGAGTGTAATTGTGACCTTGTGAGAATAATGTTCTTCCTCATGAGACTTGTCTTGCTGTCTCGACGCCGCCCTCAAATTTAATGGTAAAGAATAATGGCGAAAACACCCCAAAAATATTTGCAAAGTAATTTGGATGTTGAGAACTCAAATAGAGCACTCAGAAAAGAAAATAGAGAAAAGTATTGTTTAAGAATCAAACCGGTTCAAAAATCCTCACTGAAGCGTCCGAATGAACTTATTAATTTGTATCATGTTTTTCTTTCGCTCAAAGTACTACACTGTTATTTTTTATTTAGAGATATAAGGAAATGTCCTTTTTGGGATGTTGATCAGCAAGAACTATAATTTTCGTAATTAATTTTGAAAGCGAACAATATAATATCAAACATTTTCGTGCATCGGAATTTATCGGGGAGAAGCAGTTGTATGAATATATGGAGAGGCACTTCACATAGTAGCCTTTATTTTGTAAATTAATTCATTTGGCCACTTATTAGAGTTTTCCATAAGCGATTTTGGCAATCATTTGAATGATATTTTCCATTAAAAAAAA